CTTTTTTTTTATAAATTAATGTAACAGTACTGTATAACTTTACTTTGCTGGTATTTTATTTCTAAAATGTGTTGAAACGGCATTGATAGTCACAACACATTCCTCCCTTTAAAAACCAATGTGGTTTGTCAGCACTTGAAGCACGGAAAAGAAGAATTAGGAAACTTGGCCTTAGGTCCATGTGATCTCGTTACCCCACAAATGATGTTGGTACAACATGATATGATGTCATATCATTCGCAGATATTCCTGGAATGTCGCTTTAAGAGTCGAATGGAGTGCATATCTCTCAAGAAACCCTTTAAACTGATTTGTTGAGGCTGGTTATTTCAACATAGTTTTGTGAAATGCCTGCTGGTTTCAATCAAGACTTTCCAAAAATAAAGAAACAAAATTCCTGACTGTCCTACAATAAATCTCTCATGAGTTACTGTCCTGTGTATGCCTTCTGATAGAACAGCTTTGTCAATAACAATTCACACATTTGAACAAGGGTGCGAGATGGAAATCATTGTGAACCTTTGGGTAATGGGAAAATGTTGCAATATAATGCTGGGAATAAATACAGGGGGGGGAAAGAACATTGGTTTGTTGGAAACACTGACTTTATACAATTGATATGTCCTCTTGTACCACAACAAAGCAAATACTTGCTAGAATGTAATGAAACTTGGTGGAAGCTTGTAGCATGGGCAGAGGAAAAAGTCATTGAATTTTGGACCGGGTCCAAATCACAGGGCGGATAAACAAATTGTCTTTTTCTTTTGTTGACCTTGCTTAATATGGCATTTGTGCTAAATAATATATATCAAATAATGTTAAAGGGGTCCTGTTATTCTTTTTGGGGCTTACCTTTTTTTTTTGTATGTTCTACAGGTTTTTGTGCATGTAAATGAGCTGCAAAGGCTACAATCCCTAAATTCCCTCCAGAGGGAGTTTTCTCTCCCACACACAACATTCCTGTGAACACCTGCCCAAGTCTGATCAACACATCTTCTTTGAAGTGCCTGTGTTGTCACATTACAAATTAAAGCCCATCAACACAACAACGTGGGAAGAAAGACTCTCTAATCCCCCAACCAACTTCCCAAATGGGACTATCCAAAAATGTGCGAGAAGGTATTAGTCACAGGTACTGGCACCAGCAAGAAAATTGGACTCGAAAGCACAACCAGGCAAAAAGGTAGTGATGGCAGTTTGACACTGAAGCTTTGAACGGAGCTTCAACCCTGGACTTCCTATTCCATAGAAGCAGTGATTCGAAGCTTGCTTCAAATCACGTGACATATGACGTCCGAACCAGCAACTGCTTCAAATCACGTGACATATGACGTCCGAACCAGCAACTGCTTCAAATCACGTGACATATGACGTCCGAACCAGCAACTGCTTCAAATCACGTGACATATGACGTCCGAACCAGCAACTGCTTCAAATCACGTGACATATGACGTCCGAACCAGCAACTGCTTCAAATCACGTGACATATGACGTCCGAACCAGCAACTGCTTCAAATCACGTGACATATGACGTCCGAAGCACCAACTGCTTCATTTCCTGAATGAATCAACTCACTGGTTCGCCGTCCAATCACGCGATTCAATGCATGACAGGTTGAAACAGTTTCAAATTTGAGCGCTTCAACACTTATAACCGCTCTAAACAATGCGCAATGTGTGGGTAGTTTGCGTTGTTGCTGTTGAGTTGTTGTTGGTATTGCATTTTAATTGGATCATTATAGAGCAAGCCAGGAAGAAAGATAGGTCGTTCTGGCTCGGGAAACACTTCCAAATGTGGAGAAGTTGTGAACAAAAAGAGAATTAACACCAATATAAAAAACATGTGAATAGCTTAAGGCAGGGGTTCCCAACCTTTATTGTGCCAAGGACCGGTAGATACATTAAAAAAAAATCGCGGACCGGTTGTCAATTTTAACTGATTTTAATATTTACTCACCACCAGCAGGTAGCAACAGAGGCTAATTGTATGTAACAGCCTGAACAAATACTAGAACAATATGCATCCAAAAAATATGAACAAAGTTTAAAAAAGAACCGGTGTTGTTTTTTGGTTTTTCGGAAAACCGAACCGCACGTGCGTGCGTGCGTGCGTGCGTGCGTGCGTGCGTGCGTGCGTGCGTGCGTGCGTGCGTGCGTGCGTGCGTGCGTGCGAGTGTGACACTGGCATTTGTTTTCAGAAGATATTATGATAGTGTCGTTCGTTCCGGTGCACTCCCGACAGTTTAGCACTACATCGAGATTAAGATTAAACTAATTTATTTTGGGAACAGCCGCATATATGCCGGTGTCGGACAGACACAAACACACCGAACACACAGAGCTGAGCAGAGCACATACACACACATGCGCCTTGGTGACTGACTGGACATCTCCTTCATAAAACTAATAAAAGGGGGAGTAATCGGGCAGTTCGATGTGTGTAGATGTGTGTGTGGTTAACACGTAGCAGCCTGCAGTCACTCTTAAACTGTTCTGATTAAGTTAAACACAGCGAAGGCGGTGCGTAAAAAGGCACAGCTCTTTACCGAGTATACGTCCCGCTGCCTCCTGATGCTGCAGCCATTTCATGAAGTGAAGGAGGGTTTCCTTCTATAAAACAGCTGCGGGCAGCAGATACCGTGAGAGTCCCGGACATTAATTCATAGATCAAGGCAGACTGGTTTACTCTCCTGTTTTGCCAATCCGGTGCTTAAACAAATAGCTCCCTCTACACCCCTGGCCGACATGTCCTTAAAATGAAGTCCGAGTTTGAAATATATCTCAAATAATGTATGCACCACCATTTCCCCACATAAACATAACAGTCTGCAATCAAACGGTTGTCTCCTGTGCGCTCCTCTTCCTACTTGGCGCACCTTAGGCTGAGCCGCCGAATCCCTCGGAACATCATAAAAGCCATTTTCAACGGTTTTCTGGTGAAAGATGAACTAGCTACTGGATGAAATAATATGACTGGTGGCACAGGTGCGAAAATTAAACACTTTTTGAAAAAAATATTATGATAAAATATTTTTATATATTTATAATTCTGCAAATATTACGATAAACTCACAGCTATTTCGCGGCCCGGCAGTAACACCTCCGCGGCCCGGTACCGGTCTGCGGACCGGGGGTTGGGAACCCCTGGCTTAAGGTATAGATAGCCCAGTGGATAGAGCCGGTGGCCCGAAGCGGCGATGTCCTCCGCGCAGCTGGTTCAAAGCCCGGAACGGATGAACTTTTAATCATTCCTTTTCAACTTTAATACTTTATTAACTGATAAAAGGCCCTCTCCGCCCCAAAAAAATTCCAGCACTCTCTAGTCTCTTCTCAATAACCCAATACACACAATTATCAATCTTTAATTGCAAATAGAACATGATATTCAGTCTTAGAGTGTGTGTGCATCAAATATTTTCAAGGCAAAGATACGTTAAACCCACTGCAGCCTTGCACTTCGCCAGGAGAGGTTGCTGTAACTGAAGCTTCGAGAAATGAACCTATTTCCGACACAATTGTCCAAGTGGTTCGATGCTTCATTCAAAGCTTCATTTTGCCATCACTACAAAAAGGTTTAGTCAAGTCTTTAATCAAAAAGGCAAAAATAATACAGGTTAAGAACCAAAATGAACAGACTTGAAGCAACGAAAAACAACCAACTAAGTTGGTGGAAAAATACCAAACTGCTAGAACTGTAGCTTACACTTGGGGAGTCTCTTGGAGCACTTAATGTAAAACAGACAAGACGAACTGGCACTGACCAAGGCAACAGCACAGACTAAATACACAGGGGAGGAGGGAAGATTATGGACAGCTGAGGCTCATTGAGACCAGGCAGGTGATTAACAGGGAGGGAAAACACACCAGGTGAGGGAGTGAGGCGATTAGCCAGGGCCAGGATGTGACAGAAGGCACCATTGGCATTTTTGAAGGTCTCTGCTCTCCTAATGCCATTATAGTTACTCTAATACCTGTGCCTTTGCTACTATGCCATGTCAGAGTATATGCTGTAAAAAAGGTCTACACTGCTTTTCATCAAATGTTGTTGCATTTTAAGATATGGTATTGTTGAACACACCATCCTTTCCCTTTTTCACATCATGCCAATGGTTAGTCATCTGCAAAACATATACTTTTTCAACTAATTTGATGTTCACATGTAAACCCTTTGTGTGATCATTGTGAACTTGTGTGCCTTGCTTTATTTATTTGCTGAAAGCAGATTACGCTTTATGTGCTCATTAAATATTATAACAAGCCTATTAAAGAAAAAAATCAGCAGGATTTTATGTGCAAAATTATGTATATCCCTTACATGTGGCAAGATGCCAACGTTATGTTGGGCTGTGGGGCATCCGCCATGTAATGCTGACATGCTTAGAATGGCTGTTTATATTTGTGTTTATGTTCTCTTTAAACTGTGAATGGCAGGCTAATAGTTCTCAGTTTTGTAATTAGTAATAGGTGGGAGGTCAGCTATATCAGAGGGGCTCTGGCTCGCATCTGGCTGCCAGATTGGAGTGGACTACCTGTGGATGTGGGAACGCTTACAGCTCAAGTCTCACAGCAGGAACCGACAGAACTTCCCTCAGTTGGAAGACTTATTTGTCTTGTTTTGACAGCATGTTGTATGTTAGGTTTAGCACATGTTTTCAACTTGGACCAGGTTCAAACCCCACTGCAGTCAGCATGTCGTTGTGTCCCTGAGACACTTCACCCCAAATTGCTCCTGTGGGGATTGCCCACAGTATTGAGTATGTAAGTCGCTTTGGATAAAAGCGTCTAACAAGTAACATGTAATGTAATTCCACCTTGACCTTCACTGCAGTCAGCGTGCCGTTGTGTTTTTGGGCAAGACACTTCACCCAAAATATGACATGTTTAATATATGTAATGTAAAGCGCTTTGACGATGGGAAGCTCTAAAATAAATACCATGAATTATGAACAGCTTCTGATGATTAGAACATCTTGTCTCAGTGCTGGACCTTTTTTTCTCAGGTCCACAGCTATCCATGGGAAAGCAAGAGGCCTTTGAGATCTTCATAAGTGACCATGAGGACCATCTGACCATTGAAGACAACAAGAAGCTGCTCAAACAGAGGTGAGTGACCAAAAGGACAAGTTGTTACAGTTTGGATACATGTACAGTTCTGTTATGTGAGCAGTGTCATGTGTGGTATTTATTTGTAGCTTGCTCAATGCTATTTTCTCATAAATCACAGAGGAAACAGGTGACAGGTTGTTTTAAATACTAAAAACATGCATCATTTACATGCAACTACAATATGTCCTTATTTGTTCAGCACCCTTACTATTGTGCCTCAGAAAAACTACCTTTTAATTTGATCATTTTAAATGGTCGTTTTTCCCATCCACATGCCTGAGTGAACCTATTCAAATTAAAGCGTTTCTTTAAGTCCCTTTGCATTTTACTCAGTAAGGCCATCAGTAGGACTGTAAGCTCTTGCAGTCTGCTAGGTTTAAAAATGTGTTGATTTTGTCTAAACATCAGAAAACTTTAAGACCTTAGCAGCTGTTATTGTTAGAGCAATAATGCGGATATATTTTTGAAATGCATGTTTTATGCAATACTTAACTTATAGTACATTTCAACCCTTTATTGCCTGCAAAATAAAAGATATCTTGTTGCATTTGACATGTTTATTGTTTTATACAACATTCAATTCATCAAATCTCTATAGCCTTATTAACGTTTGCATTATTTTGAGCAGGTCAGCTGAGGCCAGAAGAATTGGAGAGGAACTGAATGAGGCTAGAAACAGAATAAGTAAGTTGTTGCAACAGAAATCTCCCTCTAGAAATCACATTACATTTAGGAGCTGTGAAAACTACATTGTCATCCACATCATCTTTAACCTAACGGCAAACGAAGCTATAAGGAAAGCACTTAAGAACGCTGAACACTTCTGTTAACGGTCTCTGGGGCCTAAGAAGAGAGCAGCCTACCTGCCTGGAAAGTCTTAATGAACTGTTGGGGTTCTGTTTCCCTGGAGTGGAGAAATGTCGCTCAGCACATTCCTGAACTTTTCCAGGACTGAGAGGCGTTCTGATTTTTAATCCAGCTAGCCTTCCAACCTGTGCTTTTTAACTAGCCTGGCTCAGGCTGTTTTTATGATGACTCTGTTAGCACACCCCTGTGTTCCTCTCAACAACCTCTTTGACAGGTAGCTTTACTATGCCACGATGAGGCCTGGCATATAACCCACACTTGACTCAATGCAGAGTGATAATAGGGTTTACCTCCAAATGTCTCTGTTATTGTATATTATCCAACCTAAATTTAAACCATGGCAGCAGGGGGTATATACAAAAATATTAGAAACTTAAGTCACAATCTCTATTTTTTGAGAAGTCTTTTCAGTGCGTGACAGACATTTGTGACATGATCTTCAACAGTTTATAAGCCAATAAGCCCCTAATTCCAATATTTCGTCACTTTAAATACTGTATCATTGTAAATCCCAACATTTAGTATAAGACTCTTTAAAAAGAATATCATTTAAGAAAACACTGGTATTTAATACTTTCACACCATGAATAAACCAACTGCAGGGATGGAAAGATCAATAGAATATTTCACAAAAGAAAGTACTGTTACTATAAAGACATTTACCTCATGTTCAATATTATGACTTGGGTAAATATGTTGTATTTACATTGTAGCTAAATGTAGATCAAAGTAAAAAGGTAAAAAAAATGATGTATAGTTGTTTAATCACCTGTGTGAACATTATTCTGTGAGCCTGTTGCACAGCAAACTCCACATTCTATACTGTGTTACATTTTGCTAATATCACCAGTCGTCAACTTCTCTTGTCTCATTGGGCTACTCAAATACTTCTCAAGCATTTTACTTTAATGACTGCTCTGCTGGCAAAAACAGTAGAAAGTGTGTTCACACCTACTGCAACTAGAGGGAACCGTTCCAAAACATACTTTTTAAATAGCCCAAAAACTACTTAAAAAATGACTTTATTTCTTCAAGATTTAAATGTAATAGAAAATGCCATCAAAGCATCATCATACAGTACTTGGACATGAGTCCACATTGATTTGAAGTCATAATCGGTTACAGAATGCTACTTAAAGAACAGTTATGTGGCAACAAGTTCAAATGATTTCACTGCACTTTGGTTGAATTTTCCAGCAAACTCGGAGCAGTTAAAATGTGTTATTAGGCCTCAATCTGGTTCGCATTTACTATTGCAAGCTACATTTATGAATTTCCCTGGACTGCGTGTGTTTGTGGCTCATTTCACATGCCATTGAAATAGATAGGTTTGCCTCACACCAGCGCCTGGCATCGCCGCTGCCTCAGATCACGCTTGGTGGTTTGGTAGCACTCGGGCTGTTACCCTCACACATGCCAGCGTACACTTATCACCATTTGGAATTTAAATTGTTTTCAGCAATCAGACCATGTGCTGACACAGCCCAATATCAGACATGTCAGACAGCACGCAGAAATCAGCTATGACATCATGTGGAATATTTACTCCTCAAATGTCTTCTGCAGACATCATCAATGAAAGGGAGCAATGAGGAGAAACTAAATTAATGTAGTAAGATTGAACAATTTTCCAACTTTCTCAAATTTGGAAAGATACCCAGAAAGCATCTTGATGCTGTCAGATATTATTACACTGTGAGGTGCATGGGGCTGCATTCTTCCTAGATGAGGGACGGTGTTTTTAGTGGAAGGTGGTTGCCGCTTCTGGATGGAAACTAGCACCATAATGTTTAGCTCAGTGCGTTTCCTTGCCATCTTGGAAGCCCTTCTTGGAAATTGTACTCTACCTGTGTCTCATAGTTAATGTAGAACATGGAAACATTTAGCATAATATAGACAAAAGCTTTGTGGCGCGTTTTCTGATGGATGAACCCAGCAGGAGGGTCAGTAGCTGGGGAGAAAAGGGAGAGGCGGTAGCCCGTGGAGACACCAGTGTCTAAACAGCAGCCCACTCTACAGTATTGTTCTTGGCCGTGGCACGTGGCTCTGGAATCCAATCCCACTGGAGGAGCATATACAGTACGTTCCAAGCCCTTAGGTCCAGAAAGTGCAAGGATATATATTTATTCAGAAGGATCAGCGATGCACTTCTTCTACCTCATCAAAGGTGTAGGTCAGCTGGAAATGAGCAGCATTCCTTGATTTCTCTGCCAGATGTGGGGGGATTTGTGCAAAGTCCAAGATGAAGCATCTGGGAACTGCTTTGGTATCCCACTTTTATCTTCTGCTCACCTTCGCTGAAGTGACCCACAGAGAGGAAGACTTTCAGATTCAAGGAAGGTGTATTGGAGCCTAAAACCTTTATCATCGCCAAGAAGGTGGTTGCCAAGCACTTGAGAAGGAATATTGCTGGAAAAATATAATTTGATTTGTGTATGTGGTCTTTGTAACCAGCGGCCTCTAGAATCTACATAACTTCTTGCAGTGCTAATGTTAGTGGCTGCTCATTAAAGAGGCCCTATTGTGTTTTGGGGTTTTTTCCCTTTCCTTTAGTTAGTTATATAGGTTTGTGGTATATGTAAATGTTCTGCAAATGCTAAAAACAAGTCTCCTCCGGAGGGACTTTCTGTCCCACACTACCTGCCTGAAACGCCTCCATTGGACTCCTTTGTCTACTTCGGTAACATAAGGACATAGCTATATAACACTCATGCTTCTATTGGCTTGTGCTCCAATTCATTGTTCGTGTTAGGCTAAGGCCCGGGGCATCTCTAAGTGGTTGTCCAATCAAAAAAGAGCCGGCCAGCTAACCGATCAGAGCAGACTGGGCTCTGGTTTCAGACAGAGGGTGAAAAGAGGTGCTGCAGCACAGGCAGTATGAGAAAAAAAAATAGCTTTTTGAACATTAAAGCATGTAAACATGTCACAGTAGAGACACACAATACAAATATGAACCTGAATATCAGCATAATAGGGCCCCTTTAAAGAGACATTTCTGTGTGGTTTTTGCTTTAGTGTTACCCATTCTCCGAATAACAGTAAACATTTTGTAAGGTTTTGTGTTGCCAGCACATATCAGGGCCTAGACGCTTTTATTCGAGTGCTCATTGGTATCAGACTTATCAGCATCGTGAGACGCAATACTGGATTTGGACATTGAACATCTACAACCATAATTGTTTCACAAGTGGTCAGTTTACAAGCTGATTTTAAGCGAAATAGTTATCAGAGCTTGGCTGATGGGTTCCAAGGTTACTCTTCGACCACTGCGTTCCGTCCAAATGCAAACAGATTCTGCACTCATGCAAAATCTGTTTGTAGAGATCAAGTTAATACAACCTTGCTTGTTTCCTTTTGTTTATGCAACACTTGTGATGGTAGTTTTCTACCAATTATCAAAATTATATTTTAGCACCTCAATATTTTCAAGATGGTCATATTATTTAGTGCATTCATTCTTCATGCACACTGAAATCAACACCCACCCAGATATTGAGAAGCTGGAGAGAACTTACAATCCTTGGATCTCGGGATCGCTATGGTAATGTGCAGCATATCAGGTTTAACCTCCAGCCACAAAAATCACCAAATATTTATTGAGGCTTGTAGCTTGACACCAGTCCTTAAAGACGACAGCATGTCTCCTGGCGATGTGGGAGGAAACCCTGCATGGTCTGGAGGAGGCTGAGAGCCCACAGTCATGTCCTGCAGGGAGGAGAGCAACACTCAAGTGTAATATAGTATTGCAGGAAGCACACCGCACACCACTCTTACTTGACACGTACGCAAATTAATCTCTCGTGGAATCTTTCTTGACAATCTGCAATTTCATATATGGACCTAGAAGGAAATAAAACACTGTATGACCACAATTGTACATTTTCTCAAAAAAAACCTAATAAATGCAGATGTCTATGAAATTCATGTATGAAGTGACAAACTGCCTTTCAGAAATACAATCCCGAATATTGCATGTTAAGTAAATGAATCTGTATCAAAACTCTTGTCTTGCAAATAGGAAATCACTATCAATAAATAAATGGAAACATTTATAATAAATCAGAGCCTCACTCAATACTAAAAGCCAAACTCTTCACCAGTGTAAATATATTTTAAGTAACCAAAATAAAATGTACCCCTGTCCTCCACTGCATACATTAACTGGTCCCTATTCATGGATCCTACATTCCCCAAGGAGTAAGGCAGTCCAAGTTGCATAATAAGCTTCATTTCAGAAAAACCTAAAAAAAACACATAGAATAAAGCGAAAAGGAAATACCAAAGATACATTTAGTACCATACACAATTATGAATGCAATAGACATCTGGGCCTTAACGTAAAAAACTAAAAACTTTTTTTCAGGTATGACAATGCGCAGGACTTTTTCTAACTTTTTCTCCAATCGTCCCTCTCTCTCTTAATCACCTGTCTGTTTAAATAAATGTGAAAAGTATTTTTCTGGGTGAAAATGACTTGAGTAGAATATTGTGCTGTACATCTGCATTGTAATCCAGAATCAGGAATACATCAGCCAGGCATAAAGCATGTCAAATTGTATTAAGACCCGTGATAAATACATCTAGTCCTCATGTGTTACTGCTTGGCCTTGGAAAACCTTCAGTAGCATGACTCATGTAAGCTGTACGGTTAGTGTTGGGCCCTTGCCCTCAGCTCCCATGTGCTGAGGGATTGTGATGTAAACTGAACACAGAACTGCTGTTGAATGCCCTTTTATCTTTAGTCTGCTTCATAGTCATCCTGGTCGTTCACTTAACTCACTATCAGTCCCAAATTAACTTTATAGTATAGTAAATGTATCCCCAATTTTGCACATTGCTGTTCAACGCTGTAAAGCTCTCCACTTTAAATACTAGTATTTTACTAATGTTTTATGTACTTTATATATCAAAGCAAATTCCTCGTATGTGGTATTTATGAATATGTTGCTGTTATGTGCTTCCCTGGCAGGAATATGTCTTAATCCTATTATCTTGTTTTGAACGATTCTTCAGTTTTGGGTCATGTTTGAGAATGTTGTGTCTGTATAAAGACTTGGGCTGGCTACCTGACCACAATCTCAGCTCATTTACATTCTCAGTTACGTACATTAACTGCAGATTCTGTGAGAGGTTCCCATACCCTGGTTGGTTCTCCACAGGCATTAGGAAAAATACCATCATCATGGGCACAACATGTCCCTGCTGTGTGTCATTTGTAACGTTGCACATCATCCATTCACATCTCCACTGTCAGTAGAAACCCTAAATATCAGCCTGCATTTAAAAAAAAGGTGTTTGTAAAGACTTTTGAAAGATGTGCTGGTCTGTGTGTTACATGGGCAAAACATTTTGGATCAGTGGAAAGCTGAGAGCTGATGTAAAACTCAACCTGAAGTCTGTAATAATAACATTGTCATGCTTGATAAACCCCAGGATATTCATGAGAGACTGCACTTTACTCTGGGTCACTCCGGCAGGACATGTTAGTCTTAAATGCTCTCAGTGTCTTCATCTTTTCTTTGATAAAGCAGGAGCTCTGAGCCAAGAGGTTTATGGCACCTTGAGAGGTGTTGCAGGAAATGGCAGTTCACCACACTCCTGTTCTTTTCTCTTTTTGCAAACGATAAGTCATCTGGATTTGTCGTTTTTGGAGCTTGGGTTTAAGATTGGCGACAGGATCATGTTACAGAAAGAACTACAGCACGGCACCGTCTACATGTGTATAATACCTGAGGGATTGTAATGGAAACTGACCACAGAACTGCACTTCCATGTCTCTTTTATCGTTTAGCCTCGTCATACTGCTCATTCACTAAAGTCATTATCAGACACACTATCACATGTCTCCTCAAGTTATCTTATACTAAATGTATCCACGCTTTAACCTGATTAAATGGAGATATTAATGACCTCAAGTATGGTCTTTTACAAAATGCCTAAGTACATTTACTTTACAGTCTTCCTATGCCACTGAAGCATTGCCTCACAAATTCAATATCTCTAATGGGGCAATTAACTACGTAAATTAGGGGAAGAGAGAGAGCAGAAGAACAGACGAAAATGACTTCCCCAGATGTTAAGCCAGTATCACTGCCACATGAGAGGCAGTGACCCTGAACGCCTCTCTCATGCTGCTTCCTGACTCACTGAAGTTAAAGGTCCCATGTCATGGCCATTTCTACTGATCATAATTCCATTGTTGAGGTCTACTAGAATAGATTTATTTTGTGCAATTTTCCAAACTCACATTGGTTTCTCATACAGCATCTCTGTATAGTATGTGTATTCACTCTCTGTCCTAAACGGCTTGTTGGAGCTCCTGCCCCCCCCTCCCTGTGAGCCCACTGTGCTCTGATTGGTCAGCTCGCCCACTCTGTTCTAATGAGTCCACCACCGTTACGCAGCGTCCACACGGTGGGCGTGTCTGAAACTCGACCAACAACCAATCACATGAATCTCCCGCCCCGGACACACAAGCACGCGGTTTGATTGGCTAGAGCTTGTACTGGCATATGATTTGATTGACTGACGCTTCCGTCGAAGCTTCAAAAGTAGAACATTGCTCAACTTTTGAAGCGAGCAACACGAGCAACGCGAAGCGACGGAACCACAATGCAGTTCGGCAAAGCGTGACGTCACCCCATTAAAATTGAATGGGCAGAAGCGTTGAAGTTTCAACGCACGCCGCCGTGTGGACGGGCCGTTACAGCGGAACATCAGTGATTATGTGTTACAATGGCGTTAGCAACCAGAAAATGACACCAGTAATAACAAACAGATGAGAATGCTGCGTGGGGCCTGGGTGCCGTGTTGGCGGGACGTTGCGCGGCTCGCTGCTGCGAGGAGCGGACAGTGTGAGCTGGGTTCATCATTTCCTGCTTGCTGCGTGGGGTCTGCGAGACATCGCGAATGGACGCGGGGGTGCTGAGGGGGCTGCAGCACCCCCATCTGCGAGGCTCCACTAGCACCCGCACCCCCAAACGCGGCGCACCTACAATGTAAGCGCGCCACAGTTTTGCCACTGCGAGGCTCCACTAGCACACTCCCCCCCAGCGCGTCACTGAGAGAGTGTGTGTGTGAGGACCTCCACGTACCCAGGAAGAAGAAAAAGAGAAATCTCCAACGAGGCGTTCTGGGGCAGCATAGACAGGTCTTTTCTGTGTTAGAGTTTTACTCGCTACAGGGTGTACTTTGAGGGTTTGTGACTTTGCAGACCGTTTACATGCATAAAAACCTTCATAACACACAAGGGGACGGGTAATAACCGGAAAAGCATGACATGGGACCTTTAAGTTAGGAAAAACTTCTGCAAACAACACAATGACTCATTATTCATCAATGCAAGAACGATGTATTAATTGGACCCACAGAATAAACAAGTTGTTAGTGAAACAACAATTCAAAGACAATGGATTTGTTTACTGTAACATCCCTCGTGGACTAAGATCCACACCTGTGATGACAAACTCCTACATTAAAGGGGCCCTCAACACTTTTTTCTCAACTTTGTTTTAAATGTTTCACAAATGTTAGGCTAATAGAAGGCGTATTGTGTCTCTTTAGGCGCGTTCACACCGCAATACTTTTCCCACTTTAGTTCCGATATAGTTCCGAAATATCGCGTTCACACCAAAAAGAGCCGGAACTAAAATTAGTTAATGAGAACCTTTTTACCCCCTTTTCCGTCTCTGCTAGAGAGCAGGTACTTTCATGGGAGAAAAAGGTTCCTATGTCTGATTGGCTGGGCGGAATGCAAACCACGCCCGGTAAAACTCCCAAAAAGTGTTGTGAAACCGCCATTTTATTATCCTTGCATTAGCATTATTAGCATTAGCCCAGCGCAGAAACGCAGAGAGACTAACTCATGGCAACACAAAAGAAAACATGGGAGCGGTGGAGATGAGGAGGTGTCGGCGTTCTGGCGATTTACTCGGAAGGCTTCAGTAGAAGCTGCTGGGAGTCCCGGCAGCTTCTACTGAAGCCAGTCCCCAACTCCAGGGACTTCCGGTCGGGGACTTCGGGTGGCAGTATACGCCGTGAAGTTGTTTGCGGCCTGCCAGTAAACCCAAAGCAGAAGAAGAAGAAGTGACGTCAGCGGCTTCATTTGCCTAATCCTCCCCCAGGGACTTATTCCGGTGTGAACGCGATCTGTACTTAGTTCATGAGAACTAAAGAGTTCTCATGAACTAAGTTCTGATGAACCTTTGTGGGAAAAGTACTGCGGTGTGAAAGCGCCTTTTGATATACAATTTAGAGAAAATGTTTTTTTTTTAAAAGCTACATTTGTATTGTTCTTTCTTTCTCAGATGAGTTGAAAAAGCAGTTAGAGGTGCAGAGGAGACAGAGGGCCGCTCATGGTAAGATCAAAATGACAAATGTTATTCCCACAGCAAAATGTAACCATGTGTCGATAGAAAAACAGAGAAATATCAAACCATATCTACCCACACCACCAGCTCAACATTGCATGGGCACTTGAAGCAATTACATGCATCATATGGAAAATCTCCACATTTCGCACTGTTGCCATTTGAAATTACAACAACGGAGAATCCAGGTTAACTTTGCTCCTCAAGCCCAAACTCAAAGAATGAACAATGCTGCCACAAATGGGAACTCTGTTTATTATGATTTAGATATTGAGCTCTTTATAGAGTATGCTGCCGGTAAACATTGTGACACATTGTGGGCTCTTTTATTTGATATGCAGCGGTGCCCACTTCAAAGCTTTAGCAGTAGTCCTGGCTGACTGAGAGCTTAGCGACCAAAGACTGGGCGTCACAACTCTAAGACTTTTTCATTTACTCTTCTCTTGATTGTTTTGATCAGTGGCATACATGCTTTGAAGAGGAAATCTGGTTGTAAAGGACACAAACATCTCCCTCCGGTTACGGCTCCAAAGGCTTTTCTTGTTATTTTCAGACCCGCATCAGAGAATACTTCACAGCAGCCTGGCTTCGATTATTCAGGGCCAAAACATAAAACATTGTATTTTTGAAGGAAATGCAGTCTCATGTACTAGCATCTACTAGCTTCTGGGCATTTTCACTGTACTTTATTTGAGATTTTATCTACTGCCGTGTATCTGAAATGGGTGTAGGAGTACCCCTAGGGGTCCTTTGCAGTACTGCAGGTGATACGTAAGATATAAATCAAATCAAAAGTTAATTTTAAAATGATCAGTTATGTAGGAAAAAGGATTAGGGCCACATGTGAAAGATCTTTGGAGATATGACCAAATGTTCTTTTTTTTTTTTGATAAACCAGAATTATGACTTAATCTAATTTCTAATCCTTTTCCGTAGTTATGCAAGTTGGGTTAGAACAAAAATTGGCGATTTACTCAGCAAATCACTGATATATTTCTAAGATCCCCCAAAATATTGTATAAGAAGCCAGTTTCGACTACAGAAAAGGGATTTTGGGTTAAATTGAGCTGCAAAAAATTGAAAACATTGAGAATGATGGAAAAACATAGCTCATGTCATGTTTCTCACTAAATTGCAGCTCATAAAAGAGACGCATCTCTTAATGTTATTCTATGATGCCTTAAAATGGTTTTGCAATAAATGTAGCATTTTTATGTTATTGTTAGTTCCAAGGTTGTAGTTTAGTAGTGTCTTATCTCTAAAACATTTGCCCGGTCTTATGCCTGTCCAATCCTACCCCAGCTGTAATGCAGAATCACCAAGAGATCGAGGAGGAGTACGACCCCGTGGAAGAAAACCTGTGCAAACACATAGAGCAAGAAAAGAAGGCGTAAGTGTATTAAGAGTTCACTTTCATTTCTCCCAACACACTGCTTAGATTCATTAGTCACAGCAGATGCTGTTACAACATGGACAAAAGATTAATTTGCTGCTGCTAATATCCCCTGTCAGTTACAAGAGCGCCATCGGGCGTCTCAAAGCTCTGAGGACGGAGATTGAGCACCTGCAGCTGCTGTTGGAGAGGGCGAAGGTCAAGCTCCAGAAAGACTTCCATCAGTGGTGGAGCAGGGAGGCTTCCAGCGTGCAGGTGATGGACCTCACTTTATCTCTACCTATCTATGTGACAACAGCACATAAAGCTCCTGTTAGAATGACACCATGGCAAGGGTAGTGTCTCTAAAACCATGTTTCTGAAATGATATCTGTATATTTATGTGTGTTTGTGTGTGTTTTCTGAATATTGGCCTCCACGGACAGGTTAGTTTGTGTAAGTGAAAATGCAAGTGTCTCTGACTTCGGAGGTTTTTATGGCACCAGTGTGACCCTTGCAGCCTCTGTTCAGCATCATGCTGAATGGGCCCTGGTGGGAAGATACGTAGGAGGAAACTCATTTTTACAGAACTCCATGTGGCCCAAGCAAGAGCCAGGAGAACAGCAACAGCATCAATACACTCTGAGAAGTTAGAGCTTTAACAAGGACCACATGGTCAAGAGGGTTCTCAACAACACAAGGGGGGATAATAAGTGAGTCAATGTTTATTGTTAGTCAATAATAATCCCTTTCTGTTTGTTCCTAATTACTTAAAAGGGTGGTTTGGATGTTTTGAAGTGGGGTTGAATTAAGTACTTTATAGTCAGTGTTTTAGTTTTGGAACGCTCCCATTTTGGAGAAACTGACAGTAGTGAATCGACTTAGACTAAGCAAAGTACTGCTATTGATTGGGATTTCAGCAAAAAACGTATTTTAGCCACCTTAAAGTAAGGCCCCACTCAAAATGTTTTGAGTGGGGTCTAAAACATTCTAATTATCCCTTTAAGGGACTCGGCCCCTCCCTTCGAGCCCCTGGCCCAGGTGGGGCTTCAGTGGCTGTCCACGAAGGCAGCATTTCTGCTTGCCATAGCCTCAGGGAAGCGAGTTGGGGAGTTGCATGCCCTCTCCGTGAGCGATGCATGCCTGAGGTGGGACTCTCAGGTGTTGCCCTTTGGGCAAATGTGGCGTTACTGCCAAGGTGCTTCCACAAACCCACTTCAATCGGCCTGTCCAGCTGGCACGCTTTGACATTCAGGAGAACGGCACGTCGGAGTTGCTGTGCCCTGTGGGTGCCCTAAGGGCGTATATTGATGCTACTGCCTGTATACGGCAGTCGGAGCAGCTCTACGTTTGCCATGGCGGCACTAAAAGAGGTTGTGCCCTCTAAAATAGCGGCTGCCCCACTGGGTTGTCGATACCATCTCACATGCCTATGGGGCCAATGGCCGCCCCCTGCCATCAGGGCTGAGATGCCACTCTACAAGGAGCATCTCAACATCTTGGGCTGCCCTGAGAGGCGTGCCCCTGGAGACCATCTGCGCCGCGGCGTCGTGGGCGTCTTCTGGCACATTCTCCAGGTTTTATCGGGTTAATGTCGCCACTCCCCATCCTTTGGGCGTGGTCCTTTTGCCGCGCTCCGCTGCTTCCAGTAGTGAGCAAGGGCTTGGATTCTTCGTGACATGGTTGGTATAAGTCATCCAGTGCTAAAGCACCGCCTCTGGCGGTCAGTAGGAACGAAATAGAACGATAGTTACGTCTGTAACTACGGTTCTATGAGTCCCGGATGACCGCCAGAGTTTCCTGTCACTCAGAATGATTGTGTGCTCGCGAGAAGATTCTGGGAACAGATCCTCTGACGACACCGGCAGATATAGCCGGTGTCACGTGGGTCACAGGTGACTTTGTTGTTATTGGTACTCGAGCTGCGCATGCGCGCGATGGACATATCCAGTGCTAAAGCACCGCCTCTGGCGGTCATCCGGGACTCATAGAACCGTAGTTACAGACGTAACTATCGTTTTGGTCCCATGAATACGGAAGAAATGTTTCACTCACATCTGAGCAAGGTTTAGGAATTTATCACTGGAAAGAAGAGGAAGTCTGACAGACAGACCTTACATGTGCAGTTTTTAGTCTTCCAAGCAGGAAGCCGGCTGTTTTCCGTGCCAGTACTCTTGTATCCGACAGCTTTGTTCAACCATTTATTGTTCTGTTTTTTGGAAAGCGATACACATGTAATTGATCAGACTCTGAGTAAGAGATATGATGGAGCTAAAGAAGAGAACATACTGTAACTCCCGAGGTCTTCAGTTCCCGCTCGCCGTCAGTAACATATGGCCACATTGTGTTGGACTGTCATCGGTATGGAATGGTGTTTGCTGAGAAGTGTTCCAGAAAAACTTCCAGAGTTTCTCAATGGTTGTTCCTAGGAGTCTGAGGCCACAGCCAGAAGTCACACAGGGTCGCCAAGGGGAACCTCACAGCCATCTTCACCCAGCACTCCAGGATTTCGGTGAGATATTAAGATGATTCTGTTTAGTCTGTTCTTCCAGATTTTAAAAGTGTTACAAGCAGTGAGGAGGACATTAAGCATTCATTTTAAACCCTCTACCGAGCCCATTTGTTACACGCAGACACCAGCCAAGCTTCAGAGGGAAACATCTTCCCTCACTGAGTCATTTCCGCCTTAACTCACTCATGTTATTTTTACCCTTTCACCATCTGGGCTGGAACAGCATTTGATTAATAGCCAACAACCTGCAGCTCCTCACTGCTCGTTTCCATGGAACAAATGTTAAACAAATGTTGAAAGGTAATGTCATTGTGATTTTCTGCTCCATCAACCAGGATGAGGATATTAGGAGGGGGTCACACTTTAATTCGCTACAACACTAGTTGTCCTAAGTTTCCCTTTGTCAGAAGCTTTCTCACCGACTGTTTATTACTCCGTTTGGTTTAGGCGAGGGGACAGGAAGTGGATAACACAGCAGACATGAAGCCAGACCATTTGGAAAAAAATACTAATTGCAATTGCACATTGTTTCCATTTTTTAAAACATCATTTACATCAGCATTAAAAAATATATATAAAAAAGTATCATGGTGTGACTTTTCAAAAGGATCTATACCAAACAAGGATTCTTTCATAAGTCTGGAGAAAACCTTTCCTAGGCCGTGACTTCTTTCCAGCACAATAACACTTTATCAGGTCTCCCTTGAAAAAGAGATCTATGATCTCAATGGGACCAATCTGGTTAAATAAAGGTTTGAAATGAAATGAAAAAATCAAGATATTTTCTCACATTTGGCCTTCACCAAATATTGCGCTTACTGAGATTTAGATCTTGCACTTCTGGATATTGCAATTTCAATACATTTTTGTTATATTTTGCAGCCCTATCATTATCAACCGAGTCTTTGGTATTTCCTAGAAATCTCTGTAAGGTCATTTAATTTCCTCAAGAAATGAAGGTATTAAATATGTGGATTGTTCGTGCAGGATTCTTTTGTATCCTTTTGTGGGGTTTAATCTTTGAGACCTTTAGCAAACACTGTCATTAATGTAGCTACAAAGCTCATTGTCTCGCCATTCGGAAATTCAGATTCATCCAACTCCGATGATTTGAAATAATAACAAAAATCTATCGATTTTCTTAAATTGTATCTTCAATGGGTTCATCTTACATTTAAATAATTCATTCTTTCATTTAATTCATAATCATCCAACATTTTTTTGTCAAAATGATTTACTTATCTTTATATGATTAAATAATTATATCACACTTTTAAACTGAAACAGAAGTTAAACTGCAAACCATACAATTTTTTATTAAAAGACGTGCAACATGTTACAGCCTCAAAAAGGTTGTAAATAAAGTGCAAACTATGCAACTACATTGTATAGTGGCTCCCTCTTGTGGTGAAGAAAAGCACATGTATGCAATGATACTGATAAAAAGAGAGGATGAGTACAGGCAGCATTGAATGACTGCTAGTCCCTACTATAGACCAATGCTATGAGATAATCTGTGGACTAATGGTGCCACAGTATTTATGAAACCGTCTCCCGACTTGTCCCACAGTGCACCTGTTCTGAGCAGCACTGTGAGAGACTCTCCACCAGAACCACACCCAGTCCACTGCTCCACCTCTGTTCAAGATCTCAGGTCAGCAAAGTGTCATCTAATTTCACATTTCTTTCCTACGATGCATGTCAAACTTTAGCCTTGTCACCTGTTCTTTTTCAGAAGCTACATCCCCGTGATGGCTGTCCCAGCAGGGCATGATGAGACCCTGGGTAGGACGGTGTCTGACTTCACTCCTTCATCTGACTGGAGGTACATGGAAGGCTGGTGTGGCATGAGGGAAATGGATAGATTTTCTTTAGTGCTTACATTCAGCAAAGTAGAAGCTCTCTATGTCTGTCGTTCCGCTTATTATTCACAAAAATCTCTGAAAAAAAAACACTTTTACACAGGGACTTCACTCAAATTCAGGGTATTCTTTTTAAGGAGTTTTATTTAGGAGATAAACAGACATTTGGTGCTTTATTTGAAAAACTGAGACTTCAAATGTGACATTCATTACAGCCCTACACTCTGTACAAGTCAAGGCCTCTTAAACAGGGCAGACTGAAGAAATAATTGAATCAATAGATGAACAGTGTTTGTGTAGTTCTTTCAAGTGTGTGCACAAATGTTATAAATACAGTAGCTACACATGTTTGCAGTAACTCTTAAGTCTATACATACAGTCTGGACCTGCAGCTTTTATAGCTGCGCAGTGTTTTCTCTCCACTTCTGAACGTGCCCATAACTTTTGTATTTCTTTGTGAAGTAATGTCTACAAACTATATTAACAAATCAAGCAAATGCTGGAACGACTGTTTTACAGCCACAGTAAAACAGTCAATGAATAGCATGTATGCTTTTGTTCGCCTCTCCAAAAACCACTTAAAGTACAGACATACTATTGCTTTAGTCAGAGGCCCCGTGATATGAGGATCTGTTACCTGTTAATGTTACGCATGTTTCCTTAAAGCTTTTGGAACAAAAACAGAGAACCAACCTTAACCCTTAGATGCACGAGTGACTGGACCCTACACTCTTCCATAAGTGGGTCTAAAAGGACCCGTATTAGAATAATATGTGTTTTTATGCAATTTTTGTCATTTTGGTTAAGAAAAATCTCTTGTATTTATATTGTAATTTAGTATTATATTTTGGTTCACACTAGAAATATTTTATATTTAATTTTTCACTATTTATAATTTTAGACATTTCTTTTACATTTTGAAAAAAAACGTTTTCCCATAGGATTCCATAGAAAATGCATGCGGGTCAGTTTTGACCCACTTATGGAAGCTTGGGGTAGTAATACAAAAACTACAATTTCTTAAAATGTAAATTAAAAATGTGAATGGCATGATATCCAAAACATGTTTTTTGAGGAATAGCTGGAATATGAAATGATACATTTTTTTAATTACAAAGATACTTCAAGAAAACCACCTCACCGGGTCCAAAAAGACCCACTTATGCATCTAAGGGTTAAGAAAGAAAGATATAATCAGTCATAATCTGGGAGAAATATGGGTCTGTGACAGGACAAAACAGGATGAATGTCGAGTGTTCAGAAATGGTTTGTCTTTTAGGATTATCCCTTCCCAAACACATATACAAATTGAGCATTTGTTACAAGAATATAGTCCTAAATGCTGATATTGTCTTGCTGCATTACACACATGTACATTTCAGGTCTCTTTCCACCACCACACTCTCATCCTCCTCCATTCCCCTGACCGGAGACCAAAAGGCTGATGCTGACATCCTGGCATTTGTCAGAGCAAGGCAAAACCTCCTCAGCAGGACAGGTAACACTCACTCACTCACTCACTCACTCACACACACACACACACATACACACACACACACACACACGCACACGCACACGCACACGCACACACTCCTTTGACCCTTGCGAAGCTGCTTGTTTTGCAGATGCTATTAGATACACAGAAAGGCTGAGATCATATGAAGAGACAGAACGATGGGCAGGCTTTTTGTCTCCCATTCTTTCTTTTCCCCTCCACTTTAGACAAGGAAGACTCATTTCAAGCCTCTTTACCTAGACACTACAAAGCTGGATAGCGACTGTGTTTTGAAAGCAACGCCCTTCTCTGTGGTTGTTTGTTTGGTGTTTTGGTATGGGCCGATCCCTCCTATCAAAACAGCCTGTAAGTCACTGAAGCATGCTGGGAAGTTTAGGTAACCTGGCAAACCTTTTTTGTTTCTTGGCTCATATTGTGATTTGAGTCGTAGTTGAGTGATTACAGGGGTTCTTACTCTGAAAATGAAGATGTTCAAGGAAATATTTTTGGTGCATTATTTGTTTTTTTCTCAAATACCTTTCATTGGATGTCTGATCTGCCAGGTGATGTTGTTTGTATTTCAGGACCACCTCAATAATACCACGATGCTCTGATGAACACCTGAAGTTCCGTCATCTAAATGCTTCTTCAACCTCCATCTGCATTTAAACGAGTATTGGACATTATTGAGTAAAGATGGACGGACATTGAAGATCCTGAAAATACTGGATTTGTGATCTGCCAAACACCAGCCACACATCCTGTCTGATGTGTGCATGCAGACACACTGGTTGGCCTCCTGGAGTATTTGTCCGGTACAATGGGCAGCAGTATAAATCACAGCCTGCGCTGCACATTTGATCTAAACAAATGTTGTCTCAAGATATGAGAGGAAGGAAACCAGGTGGCTCCAGTATGTGTGTAAAGAAGAATGAATCATGATGTATCAAATGGCCACAGGAAGTTTAACATGCATTTCAGATTTATGTTATTTTGTGTAAAAGGTTGTGAATAGATGTGTAATATATGTATAGTACATTTTGTGTATAAGAAAATTGAACACAATATCAAATACAGAATAAACTATTTGATGTTGAAATGCAGTATTGCCCACGTATTACATTTGTACTTAGCACTTACTAGTCAATGTGTACTAAGCACTGACAAACATACAGTAAATGACGAGTTGTTTGGTAACCTGATAACAGCTGATCTGCCTGTTCTGTGTTCTGTGGCAACTTACATTTCCGTGAGCTTCCTGATCTATGAAATAGCTTGTGCCTTATTTTTCTTCCATCATCACTGATTCTAAATCTCTTTCTTGTTGCTCTTCCTTTTACAGTTACTCTCTGGCAAGTTTCAGATTTAGAAGTGCTGCTTCTTCTGTGGAATACACCTGGAAAAGGTCCCAGGTAAATGACTCTCCTCAGGCTATTCGTCATAACCTTCAGCCATGAAGGGTATAAGGAAAACTAACCAGTTGGTTGCGTCATTGGCTACGATGTGAATTAGTAGTGAAATGTATTCCAAATAACACGTACTGCACAAGTATCTTTTTCTGCCTTTAAATACAAACCTTTATTTTCAAGTATTGTTCAGTATATAAGGATATAATATTAACAAAACCAATCATCGTGTAGCGGTTTTACTAATGGGTCATAAAGCCTTACAGTATCTGTGATTAATGCTATTTAGGAAAACAGGGAGGTGGAGCCTATCCCAGCATGCACTGAGCAGAAGGCAGGGAAACAGCCTGAGGGCCTGCAGCGTGTGCAGTGCTTCCTTAAGATTTGAAATTCAAATAGGGTTACAAACTTTTCTTTGCATGGACTAATGATTATTACGTATTGAGCTGAATGAGCATTTAAGGGTTTTTACATTAAGATAAGATCAACTATAGGCAATTAATAATTATATATTTTACAAGGATGTTAAGCATTTGTGCACACACTCGAACAAAATTAATTCTTAAGTGGCTTAAATGACACAGCTTCAGACTGTATGACCTGGCCGCATGCAGGTCACTACATGAGTTCCTTCCTACATGAGAGTAGATGTGTTATATCATGAAATTCACTTTATCCGTCAAATGTCAGCCGATATTAAATCACATTCTGTCACGTCAGAGCTCTTGCTACACACTCACCACACCAGCAGACAACCTGTGAACCTTGGAACAAACGCAGTTTGCATGGCTTCGCATTGATTTGTTTGACAGATGACAAGCAGCTGCACAATTTGCATCCAGTTGCCTTGGAGAATGAGCCCTCTTCAGTGAAGTCATATCTGTTATTCTCTCAGACACATCAGTGACTCTCTTCATGGCGTGATTGTGTTTAAAGATATTTTTAATAACACCACAAAAAACACAAAGTCCATAAACATAGAAGTGTAAATCTATACAAATAAATTGATAGTGTATGAGAGCACTGAACATGTAATCAAGCTTGAAGTTTAACTTCATATTGCAGTAGTTGACTAGCATTCAGCTTCATTCTTTTTTGTATAGTGATTCAATTAGTAGTTAATTACTTTAAAGCAGTTTTTATGTAGTGTACTCTTGGAACTAGAAGCAATTTTGGGCCGTAAAAGGAAATCATTTAAAATATTTGTTACCTTTTTGCTTTAATTCTAAGTTAAATTGGCAAGGCAAGTTTATGCTTTTGTTTTTGAAGGACCTGTGAACAAGGCTTTTGCTGGCATCTCACATGCATTTTGTTATGACACAATGATGTGTGAAATTGTATTTTCTCTGATGGAGTATAATATTGCTAGTAACCCAAAACACAAGAATATGACTAATCTAAATTACTATATAACAGGCAGGAACATTTGTATTTTAATTCTATATAAACTTAATTTGTGTGTTTTCATTCAAAGTGTATGTACTGCATGCCATAACCCACATTATTATTTTAACAGTTTTTAAGCTTGTTTTACGTGATCTGTGACCTTACATAAAACATGCTCAGTTTACTCACCAATGACAAACTCCAGATGGTGTGTTTCATATTTTTTGCAGCATTGGAAATATATCGAAGGCTACAATATGTAATATAATTTATAGCCGTCATAGACATCTAACTCTTTACTATATTCTTGCTACATTCTTACTCCACCCCAAATGGGACTTTGGGACAACAAACCGACCAGAGCATAACTGAATGTTTCTATGATAATTATAGCTGTAGTTATTGGCATCTAGTCTAAAGTCGTAAAATGCTTTTCTTATACGTCCTCTGAGGCATTTTAAACATGCCAGAATACTAAACACTACAGCGATAAAACCCCATTAAGTTCTCTCATGACTCATCTTTCAACTCTTTGCTTTATGGCACACAGTCTATTAGGGCTTTCGACACTTCCGCAAAATTCAACAGCAACTAAAGTAAATGTGGTTTTTGTTTGAAATGTACCTTTCCCATAAAAGGATTCCCCACTATGCAGAATGTTATTGAAAGGCTCTGCTATCATTGGGTGCTCAGACAACCACCAGCAGTAAGGTAAAACATTAACTTTTGTTCTGCTGACACGACGCTGCCAACGCTTCCTTATTAGTGGAAACAGTTGAAAGTGTATGTGTGTGTGTCCAGATGTCGTGCTAATGGAGAAGAGGAGTTTAATCGTTACACAAGCAACCCATAAATCAAAGCCCAACATCCCTGACCAATCAGAGGAGGAGCATCGAGTCGAGATGTTTCACCTTTGGAGCATTATCCAGTTCGAGCATGTCACCCCCATGATACCAAACATCCGCCATTTCTAGCTTTGTCTCGCTTTTGACAATCTTTTGGAGAAGAATATATTTGCAGCAATGGAAGTCATCTTTTGGGAACTACTAATGAGATCTGCATATTTCATCAAGACTTTGATTGTCAAACCTTTCTGAAGCGATTGACCTCTAAGTTTGAGCATCAGAGTTTGGGTCCATTCTGGTTGATGGCGAGGTTCCAGTTGGTGCGGTTCAAAGTGAGCTGGACAGCCATTTTGACTCTGGCCCACTTCACGTACCTGCTGGTTGGGGCCACCATCTTCCAGATACTGGAGCGGGAGGCTGAGAGCAACAACCGGAACCATTTCCAACTGGAGAAGTTACATTTCTTGGCAAACTACACCTGCCTGGATGGACCAGCCTTGGAGAAGTTTGTTCAGGTTCTTTAACAATTCTTGAATTTATAAAAACATTAACAGTGTTAAGGTTTATTAAAATGTAACAGGACAATTTTGAAATATAATTACATTTGCCATATTAGTTGGTGTTGGTTTTTTTTCTATAAAAAATGGTGACGCGCTTAAAAACATGTTTTTTCTTCAAAGAGTAAATATGACAATAAAAAGGGCTCATCAAATACTTAGTGCCAGATAAATTAAGAGATCAATTTTATTATTAGGTTGTGTACACATTAATAAATGGTGTTACAGTAACCTGTCCTAATAAATCAATAAGTAGGTCATGATCCAAAATATAACTTGTTTATTACTACTTTATTACCATATGTTTTTGCAGGTGATTTTGGATGCCTGGGAAAAGGGAGTGAACCCCTCAGGCAACTCAACAAACCCCAGCAACTGGGATTTTAGTAGCTCCTTCTTTTTTGCAGGCACAGTTGTCACAACTATAGGTGAACATCTTTAAGTATTCATTATTTTAACTGGTTCGTTTAAAAAAGAGAATATAATGACAAATCCTTGTCTTGTCCACAGGCTACGGGAACCTCTCCCCCAGCACTGTATCTGGTCAAGTGTTTTGTGTGTTTTACGCACTGTGTGGAATCCCCCTGAACCTGGCCTTCCTCAAACAGCTGGGGAAGTGTCTCACTGTCCATCTGGGTCGACTGGAGAGGGGAATGGTCTCAGTTGTTCCTCACAAGGTACTGACGCATTAGGTCATCAGAAATCAATGTTCGATATGTCAATGACAAAAATAGATTGATGGCAAGTCGGTAACATTTAAGTGACCGTGGTAATATCCACAATATTACTAAACTCATGTCCGTGTATTGTACAATAAGTCGATATAGCAAGGACATGTCCATATATGGTGCGACAAGTCAATGGCGTAAAAAAGATTGAGGGCATGTACATGATAATATGTTGTACAATAAATCAATTACATTTAAAAGTATCAAGGACATTTCCATTAATTGTACAATATACATGTTGATATACGGTATCATATATTGTATGAAGTTAATATTTTTGTACAATATATCGGCAATAACGAGTTACTGTGACAGACTTACTACCAAACAAAAATGGTTGCTAACAGATCCATGATACTTTCTTTGCATTTGCTAGCCATCATTGTTGCGATAAAACATGTTAGGTATGAAAGCAAAAGGTCACTTTGTAATGCCAAAATGATGCCTATGGATGTGACTTGTTTCTTTCCTATAGCAGACAGTTGAGGCTCTGGCAGTGAGCTTGTTCTTCATCACCGGCAGCCTGCTGTTTTTAGTCATCCCTCCTCTGCTGTTCAGCTACGTGGAAGGCTGGTCGTTTGGCGAGGGCTTCTATTTCACCTTCATTACCCTCAGCACCATTGGTTTTGGAGATTATGTGGTGGGTGAGTAGAGCGAAAGCAAACAAGCACTAATGTGATGGAAAGTCCACAGCGGTCACCTCTGTTAGATAAGAGTGCCTTTTCATTCTTTGAGGCAATAACTGTGACATTTCAATGAATAAACCATACTACCCGATGATTCTTACTGTGATGTTCAAGCATGTTCTGACAATGTCATTTCCATTGCATGTAGGGACTGACCCAGGCAAGGAGTACATCTCTCTATACCGCAGCCTTGCAGGCATATGGATCATCTTTGCCTTGGCTTGGCTCGCCCTTATCCTTAACATGGGAGCCAGAACAATGGAGCATGCAATTGGCCTGACTCATCCAGGCTTTAAGAAACAAAAGGAGGAAGAAGACGTGTCCTCAAATACAATAGAAGACACGTCAAAGATGTAATATTCACTAGGTAGAACATATTTTGTGTGACTGTTTTCTTTACATATTGTGGTACATTAAAAACAGTTTTTGTAAGATATTTGCCCCTGCATATGTATTACTTTAATTGCTTTACTGTCCTTGTCCTGAGTTTGTGTGATATATTCTACGCAATGCAGAAACAACTTTTGAAGCTTTTTGAATAACAATTCCACCTCAACTTTGGCAAAGAATCAGTTCATTGGATCAGGGCCTGAATCAATCTAACTTCTAAGAATTACACTAAATAATTCAGGACACATTTCTAAACATTTGTTAACTATGTAAAAAAAAAAACAGTAAGTTTGCAGAGCAACAAATATTGGTGCTCTTAGTATAAATAGACAATAAGTAACCATTAATCCTTCCTGATTATTTTTTTTTTAATATAATTTAAATACATGAATTGGGATTATATATTTTTTCATTTGGCAATTTGATGAATAAGAGCCTAGGGTTAAAGCCTCAATGTGAAAAGTGTTTTGCCTCATGTTGGAATCTTCCCTCACACAACAGGATGAATTGTTTTGCACTCTTGTTGTAGTAATTCTTTATTTTATATTATCCAACTGCATTATTAGACTGTATTAATGTCCCATGTTGCACATATCTAAATGTCAGATACTTTTGTGTAACATCATGTAAATCCACAGCTGCGATTGTGTACTGATGGTCGTCTCTGGTGCATTGAGCATGGAGGTCTATCTTAAACAAACACATCTAGATGATGGTGTGAGGTGACCCGAGTGATCCTAGAAAGGCAGCTGGGTGACAGGAAGAGGGCTTTTACTGCTCATACCTTTTTTTTCATGTTTTTACCGAAAATGGTGGTTAGCAGAGTAACAACTGCCACTTTCTTGGTTAAACCAGTATGAGAACTGATATCATTTTCAATATCATGTAAACCTAATTGGTCTTGGAGATTGTGCACATCCCCTAGAAACTACTTTGAAATTACCCCACTGTTGCGGCGCAATGTCCTGACCTCATAAACAATGGCTTCTTTTGGCCAGAAACGCCAACATTTGACCTTACCCATAGTAATCACCGAAAGCGCAACCTGTGCTGGTGTCTCTCCCTGTAGATTTGCATGGCAGGCCATTGGAGTGACTGAAACAGCAGCTGCAGGTTCATTTGACTGCAATGCAAGGAAAGAAGAGATGACAAGCTGGTAAACACTCACTCCTTCGAGACACCGAGCTTGCCTGGATTCAAGTGTTCTAGCAGGGAGCCAAGATGGGGATAAAGGAAATGCTGAACTGGACGCGGGTGCCCTCCATCCTCCTGCTCGGGCTGGTTTACGTGGCCTATGTGCTGACCGGCGGTGTGATTTTCTGGAAGTTGGAGGGAGATCTTGGCGAGAAAGACATCGATCTGCTACTCTCTCACAAAAAGAAGCTGCTTAAGAGGTACACCTGTCTGAACCAAGAAGGCCTGGAACGAGTAGCTGAGGTGAGGTGCAGGACGTCAACAGAGGCAACACAGTTATGGGTTTTAGCACATTACACTCAGGCACTCATTTTTGCCACGGACATTCTAAAATGCAAATGTGATGGTACTATTTCACAGCTAATGTATGCCTGTAGCCGAACAGTATCTGTATGTTTTGTATATGACAAGTTTTTGGTTTCAAAGGAGACCACTGGATTAACATGGGGACCACAATCGAACTCCTAAGGTTTTTCAAATTTCTGAATATAGAAACCATAACTACAAATCAATCATGCATCTGACAAATGAACAGTTCTACCCTTCAGCTTCACAAAGGATATTGTTGTTTTCCATTACTCTTTATAACTAGCATACATTTGATAGATCTTGTTTTAGATGCTCATGTTTCAAGGTTGACTCCTGCGTAGTAGCCAAATAAACCACTTTTACTGATTACTGGGGGGATCATTTAACAGTATCATTTTGCCATACAGTGCTTTTAAGCGTCTTTGAGCACTAGGAAAAGCGCTATACAAATGAAATGTATTATTAGGGCCATTTGCAATCACTTGTAGGTTCCTATGCAAATACGAGCTCAATCAGCCTTTCAGAACTACACATTCAACTTTCACCGCAGAAAAGTTGTGCAATCTTTTCCTTGGAAAGCATTTTTGGCACATTAAACATTCTATAGAAAGGCATGTCCTATTGTGCACTATTTTCCAGAGAAATAAAAGCAACAGATTGAATTGAAAGTTCTGCCAAGTCGTGTGAGACTGGACTCTGGGAGATTTCTCTGAATTTGCATGTTGTTTTTGTAGCAGGCATTAGAGGTGATTTGTGTACAACGCCAGCTCAGTAGTTTACACATAAGGGCAGTAAGGTGCAATAAATTCAATTTAGTCAGTTCTTTCAAAAAAATGTGCCATCATATACATATTTGGAATTAGGATGTAATGCATAAAAGTAAAGGTACTATGTTGAAAAGAACATTCTTGCTAATACCATTATCAGGATCATAATTTTCGAATCATAAATCTATCCAGACCCGGTGTACTGGGCGGGCCTCTGTGAGCGAGCACACCTTTATCTATTTAATATAGTTGTAAAAAATTAAGTAAGAAATCATTCCAATGTGTATAGGACAGTAAAAAAAAGAAAAAACAGTTTGAAAGGGGAGTGATTAGTAAAATATGCATAAATAATAAGAAAGAATGCTAACTAGGTAACATAAGATAAGAATAAACAAGTTTAAATGATTTGTTATTGGTTGTGATCATATTCTAAAGATGTTTGGATTATTGAAAAGTATACAGCTCCCTTTCATCTGAGTGTTGAGAGCTGTATCCATCAATTCATTTTGGGCACAAAGTGCTCCAGATTGATGCATTTCACTTCAACATTTAAAAAAACATCTTCCCGGGGGTGCATGGCCCCGGACCCCCCAAGAGGATGTGAGGTCCACCCCCAAATAAAGCAGGTTAAAATAATTAAATTGCATACATTTTCTTTTAGTAAACACTGAAAACGGGTCCCACAGACCCAAACAGCACACAAAGGTTAAAGGTCAGCATATCATAATGTGTAATGAAACAAATACCAATAACTATATTGCATTGTTTTCTTATGCGCAATTACTTCATACTGTCTTTGTCTTTTTCGTCCTGTATTTATTGTGCCCCCCTCAGAAAATAACTGGCCCCAGCCTGGCCCCCCCAGTCAAATTGGTCTACAACCGCCACTGCCTCCCCCCCCGTTGACAAATCACGAGCTTAGCAAGCTAGCAGTAACTTAACAATGCTGCATGGACTTTACCTCGGTTGCTTTGAGACTGTAACTGGTCATTTGCAAACAGTAAGCTAGTCATTACCAGCCATTATTTTATGTTAGCCACACACTATTTGCGCAGTAGGAGAGCTAAAGAACTCTCCTCAATCTAAATCAATCCATAGGCTGTGTAACTGAGAAAGTCAGAAATGGTTGTTACAATCCGTTTACACATTGGCAGTACAAATCAATTTACATTAAGCCTCAATTGTTAAATATAGTAAATGTAAACTTACTTAATATTGAATACTTAGATAACAAAGTCTTAGGTCTGAGAATGTTTTTATTTTGGAGCAATTTTCCAGTGTAGAACAATTAAGAATGTGTATTAATATGTACAGGGCGTCACATTATGGTGAATCATAAGGGGCGACCAAAGGCTATGAAATTTGCAATTGTTTTAGTTTAGTTTGACATTTTCCCCTGGTTTGTAATGTTGTTATTCATTTCAGGTTGTTCAAGCAGCGTCCAAGGTGGGACTTAGTTTGAAAGGCAACCAGACCTCGGACGGCTTCTGGAAGTTCACCAGCTCAGCTGTGTTTGCTGCCACTGTAGTCACAACAATAGGTTAGACAACACTGGAAGTGAATTTGAATCATACCCCATGACAAATTTAGCAAAAATGTTGTTTGTGCAACCTAAACACTTATGATGTACATGGTCATTAACCAGAGTTGTAATCTTGTGTTGTAATAACTAACACAGGATATTTCACTATTTAGATGTTCAATGTTTCAAGATGACTTGATTTATGATGATAATGAACCATGAATGAGTGAAATAAGACACTAATAGCTTACAGTTTTGCAGGTTATGGGAACATGAGTCCAAGCTCTACTGCTGGCCAGATATTCTGTGTGTTCTTCGCACTATTTGGTATCCCGCTCAACTTGGTGGTGCTCAACAGGGTCGGCAAGTACATCCTTGCTATAGAGAGGAATGTCTCTGACTTCCTCGAGGGGAAGACCAAGCGAAGGGTGAGGACACCTTTAATTATTCTATGAATATCAGATCACTATGGAAATATTTGTACTACACATTTTAGGTAGTAATTATTCTTCATGCCTCAATTCTCCCCCCTTCATCTCTCGACAGAAGTGTACCCGCTTCTTTATCCACCTGGTGTCTTACCTGTGTGGAGCAGTGCTCTTCTTTGTTGTGCCCATGATTGTGTTCCAACTGCAAGAGGGCTGGACCTTCTCCCAGGCCATCTACTATTGCTTCATCACCCTCAGCACCATCGGCTTTGGAGACTTTGTGGCAGGTACAGGAAATAGACTGTATGTATATAGGAACAGCCCAGTAATCAGCAGAAAATAGCCATGGTCCCATTTGTGGTGGCAACATTAAAGGGGACCTATCATGCAAAATGCACTTTTGTACGTCTTTTATACATGAATATGTGTCCCCGGTGTTCCAGGGAACTCACCAAGTGTCAGAAAACACAACCCTCTCTATTTTCCTCCATACCCAAATCTCTAAAAACGGGGCTGCAACGGATCTGATACAGACTGATACAGATTTGAACATTTCTCTGACGTCAGGACGGAGGAGATCCGCCTATATGGCCAACTCTCCACCTATCAGGGGAATGAGAGATTGCCGTGGCATGGTAACAGCATGGTAACACGCTCGTAACTCGGCCCCCTCCTTTGCAGGGGGGCGTGGTCAGCTGCAGCGCATGCAAAGACAGGGTGGAGGAGAGCAAAATAGAGCGAAATGAGGCATGGCTAAAATGCATGATCTGTTTGGTATTTTGAAAAAGAAAACGTATAAATATACCTTATATAGGTATGGCCCTACAATATATTATTCAAATATAGCATGATAGGTCTCCTTTAACTTTCCTTTAGGCTGCATATTTTTCTTGGGTTTTTATAAATACAATATGCCTTCATAATGAGCATGGCATTCATTTTGGTGTGGGTATTTTTCACATTTTGGAAGTTCAACCTCCTATAATAAATCAGTAACCAACTATGTATGCAAATTACAGACACTCTGACACATTGGCTTATTTCCAAGACTTTGAAAAATATTGGTATTATGATAAACAAACTGGCAATCAAAAAGTTAAAATTCTAAAGATGAATGAATATTTGGATGGTGTTGGTTAAAAATGTAATAGCTGAAAGTTTAACCAACATCATAAAAAAAAGAAGCAATTTATTTTAACAGGGATGCAGGAGGGTTAATTGAGTGTTTCCTTTCCAGATAGTAATCCGGACAAAGTGTACCCAGATTGGTACAGCTTCCTCATGGCCTCCTGGATCTTCTTCGGCCTGGCCTGGCTCGCCCTCCTCATCAACCACTCCATCGACATCCTGGAGCGGCTCAACACGCACTGCAGAATGCGCTGGGGTGGTCAGAAGCCAGAGGAAGAGTCTGGCAGTGCAGAGGGAGAAAACCCAGACACACAGGTGGAGGAGGAAGACGAGAACAAGAAGCCACCAATAATTCAGTAAAGAAAGGTGAAGATTTCAGTAAGCTTAACCTAGTTGTAGTCTGTAAATCAGGACATGGGAAACAGGCGTAAACTATTGGATAATGTTGAGCCATGGAAGGGTGTGTGTGTACACGTGTGCATGTTTGTGTGTTATAAGACTGTAAATGTTGAGAGTGTGATACTGCCGCTAAAATATTGACTGATTTTTGTTGAGTGAGGATCTTTTTCCCACACTGTTAATATGTGACTCATTATTGTGTGCTTGTTAATGTACTTGGTTTAAGAAAAACCTCTGAGATTAGAGTGTAAGGATACTAGGTCAACACTTACTTTGCTCCATGTATATGTCCATGGGTTAGTGGTCAGGATAAACTGCAGTCAGTGTTGTCTGTGGCTCTCTCGTGTGTTGCTAATGACCACAAACCAAGTCATTTGCCAACTAAGTAGCCATTTGCATTTGACTGTGTGAGAGACAGAACGGCCCATGCACCACTTATTGACTGTTGATGCAAATACATTTAAATGTATTTCATTATTTTTCATTCAAATTGAAGGTAATGTGATTTTTTTTCTCGTAAGAAATATAGGTAACCTAATTATTTGACCACACTAAACACAATGATACAACAACTCATATCTAAATGTACCCAATACAATTCTACAAGTATATTAAAACCAGATTGTTTTAAATGTGTACTTTAGGGAAGCCCATAAATGCTGAAATGATCTTTGCATCCACTAGGTGTCGTTGCAATACTAGTGGAGAAGTCAACCCAGAGGAAAAGCAGCAAACACTCACTGTATGTTAGTGTATAATGTAATAATATAAACTAACCATATTATATATATAATCCTCACACTCAATATATTCATGCTTTTCATATGTTTCTGTCCCAGTGCAGGTATATATAAGCTCTATCATGCAACTTTTATAGAAATGTTATTTCTTGTCCTTATTGCATGATTAAATAAAAGTGTACAATCGTGATTTAATTCTTATTATTTCGTTTTTTGTGTATTTTTCTTTCATGCATACTTCTCCTGACAGTGACCCACAGTAGAATAGCAGCACATAGAGGCGCAGACGAGGGTCAAATATCACAGAGCAAGTCAGGGAGGAGGAGTGAATGACAAAGACAGACGGCGAGCGGCGGGAAGAGAGAGTGGAAAATGCTGAGGAGATGGATAGTGAAACAAGGAAAATAAAGTAGGTGAGGAATGGGAGATATTTGAGGGGAAGTGCCAAAAATAATCCAGACAGCAAAGGAAAAGGAAGGATTTCTCCTTTCTGTTCTGCTATATAATGTGGATAGTGAGAAGTATGAAGTGAGAGTGTGGTCACACCACTGTGACCGTTGTACAACAAAACGCCACATACCTGTTTGGCCACGGTTCAATGAGGACTCAGCATGTGTGAGAAGACTGGTGCCATGTCCTATTTCTGTCCAACCGACCACTGGTAAAGTCTGCACACTGTCCACAATGAGACAACATACACAATCCATAGACTGGATCCTCTGTTGTCGTTTTATTATGTTGTCTATTCTGTACACACGACATCTATTGCTCGTCTGTCAGATCTGTTTCCTCTGTTGCTCTCCTTGAGGTTACTTCCATTTTTACCCTCATTGATTTTGGGAGTGTTTCCTTGTCCGCTGCAAGGGTCTCAGGACAGGGGGTGTTGTATACTTTAAAGATTGTAAAGCCCCCTGAGACAAATGAGTGTCATTTGTGATTTTTGGGATATAAAGATAACATTTGTTTGACAAGGTTCTGAAAAAAAGAGGCAACTATTTATAATGTATCTTTATTTGATTTACCAAAGGAACATCCTATTCAATCATAAGGTCAAACTGCAGATATGAAACACTACCATGTACACTGGGCTGCAAATGTTGCACTAGGATCAAAACTGGTACCAAATGGAAGCCTTAATAATACTCTTTTTTTTAAGTCTGACCTCATGGTGTATGTATGCTGTCTAACCTTAAAGGTGACTTATCATGCTCATTTTCCAATTCATGCTTGTGAATTGGATGTCAACTAAAAATGTGTTTATGTTTTATGTTAGAAAAAAACCCTTTATTTGTCTCATACTGTCTTCCTTATTATGCCTGTATTAACCCTCTGACAGAAACGCTCCGTTTTGGGGCCTGTCTCTTTAAGGCCTCCAGAGCAATGAAGTGAGTTTTTAATATTATGTGCCCTTTAAGAGATATGTTGAGCTATTCCCATGGCTTAAAAAAGCCCCCCTCAAAATGCATTGTGCATTCATGCTTTGAGTTTGATAGATTAAAAAATAAGCTTCAATGGTCCAGCTGGTTAAGGAAATAACTGAGCCTTTAATGTCTTGGACCAGTTTTTACTTATTCAAATGTTCAGTAGTAATTAACAAGAATGGGGGTGATTTGTTCTTTCCAACAGATACTCTTTCCCATGTTACAAGGGATGAAGCCATGACTCATTGAAAGATGATCTTAAGGTGAATTCAGTTACATTGTGAGGATTTTTCTCATGGAAGTTTAACAAACAAGGCTTCTCTGAAAGACAGAAACAACAGCATATCATAAAAAACACAACACGAATGTCACTAAAACACTGCATAGCACAGATTTACAGTGTTTCCAGGTCTGTCAAAATTAGATGTTCATCTTGCATAACAAAGGACATTTAACACTCTCAAAATTGAGGCTGTAGTGTCACGAAAATTTGAAATATGTGGGTGTGGCTGCCTGTGCGTGTTTCACATTACTGTGAGTGTGCACAACTGTGCAGCAGCTGCAACAGAAGGCGTTACATAGTCTCCTCTGGAAACATTTAGGGTGCAACCAGACCAACATACAGTACAGTTTGTACTGCTATATTAATAGCTGGAAAAATATCAATTTTCTCCTCACAGTGTAGGCTCGTACATTGTGATAACACCTCGAAGCTCATTAGTAAAACATGCTGAAGTTAACACAGAACAGATACATGCAGAGCTAATTAAACCTAGTTGTGATTCTATATTTTATAATCTCCTCAATGTTAAACTTTTTTCAGCCGCTTTCATCATTCATGGCCTGTTACAGCTTTCGATCTCTAAATGTGTGCAATGCTCAATGCAAAAGGCGTAAAATATATATATATTTTTAAAAGCATGTGTTCCACAAAGAAACAGGAAACAACATAAATCATCACATGCACAGGCATAAGGGCCCGCCCGTATGTTCTTTATCTCGTCTGCGACGCAGCAGAAATGTCACGTGAAATGCATCTCACCTGACCCATTAATGATGTGGATGTGCTTTAAAGGTTTTGCGTGTGACCGGTAATGTACTGTCTGACCTTACTAGGCAAATTCAGAAAACACTGCTGAGTGATATTGTTTTATAAGAAGCACAGACACTTGTAAAATACTTAAAATGGGACAAGATTACGGTTATACAATTAGCATAAGTTCTTTGTTTATACAGGAAGCATGCCAAACTGCTAAAACTGTGCACAAATGATTGATGTTTTAATGTTATACAAATATAACACTATGTGCTTTAGCATTAGTGACTTAAGCCTGCCTTTGCTTTTACTGTAAGTCACTTTGTTTGCAATCCATTAGTCTTCTCGGAGTGCAAACAAGGAGGCATATTCACTACTGGTGACATTAAAGGCTTCATATTACTATAAACTACAACCATTTGGGATTAATGTCAGATGATACAAAGCTAATCCATTTATTTGGGACTAATGGTAGTTTTTTCTAAGATGCACTACTTCAATGTACTGAATTCTAGCAGAGTTCGAATAGTCAAAACAGAATGACGTCCACTGTGTTTTCCCTACACACATTTCCCTCATGACGTTTTCCATTGCGGTCAACAAAGGATGTGAAGAAGAATAAGGACATAGCATCATTGTTGTCTTTTGCTTAGAGATTCTGACTACACTAGGCTACAGATATTTTTCAAGCATCTTAAATTACAACTGAAAATGAGTGCTATGATAAAGTCAATGCTCTAAAATTCAAAAAATAAATCCGGTCCAAGCCTATAATAAGGGTACCATCAGGGCCGCCCCTCCCTACACGCAGATCACGCAGACTGCGTGGGGCCTCACCTTGCTGAGGGGGCCTCATCTTGCGGACGATCTATGCGCGAATGCGGCGTAATTAATCTTATGCGCAAATGCAGCGTAATTATGTGCTCCACAGTTTCAGTTTCCCCGCTGCGAGGCTCGTTTCAAAATGATGCCGAAGTAACAACATACTGATACCGGTCTGCAGACAGACGGCAGGCGAAAAACCTTTTACAATGCGTGTTTTCTGAATGGAGATCGGATCGATCAGGCTAAGCTGACGTTGTATATGCTCCGTCCACACTCACAACAACGGCCTACAGACATAAATAAACCAGCGACTGTATTCGCCATGACACAGACAGTCTGTGGTTTGTACTTGTTTAACTTTTGTCTAGTTTCTGAACAGATATGAGGAGCTGTGAGCTCTGAGTGCTAACAGCTAACGGCTGATGTTTTGGTTTTGTGGTTCGCATTGAAGATGACGTCACGGCAGTTTTATGCAGCGTCGCTCCGCCCGCCGAACAGCCGATCGCCCCGCCTACACTGCGTTACTATAGTTACTACCCCAGTTGGTCAACTGTAATGGAAACGCAGCATAAAGTGAGCCTGGCCTACCAAGGCCTAACCATACCGTACTAAGCCGTGCTAGGTCCTGCAGTGGAAAAGCGTCATTAGATACTTAGAGGTTATTATTAACTGTTTGACTGCAGCCCTGGTGGGGCAAGTTTCAAACAGGAAGTAACATGTTTAACTATGCAGGGGAGCTAAAGCTACTTTAGCTTTGGCGCTTTTGACAACATTAGAGCCCTGAAGTCTCTTAATCAGGTTTAAGAGATTTTCTGCACATGACCACTTTATCTAGATTACATTTAATGCTATTTAGATATGTAGGTGTATTAGCAGGTCATGTTACAAAAGGTCTGTATTTGAACTGCTGGCTTGGAGGCTGAGAGAAATTGATTAAACTCATACCCTTGCGGTTAACTGCAGTCAGGCTTGAAATAT